AGCTCTAGCCTGCTCTTCTCTAATCTCTTTACCATCCATTAAATTAACTCACTCTATCCTCTATCAATTACCAGTTGCTGCTTGTGCGCACACCTTGCCCGCGCTACTTCGAGGCTCTGCAYGAGGTGTACGAGCTGCCTGAGGTGAAAAAGGAAATTGAGCCGTACCTGGACATGTTTAAGGAGCTGGCAGCGCACACCGGCCTCAGCTTCAATGAGCCGGAGGATGTGCAGTCGCTGTATCTGACGCTGCTCGCGGAACAGGAATGGGGCCTGGATTTGCCGGAATGGACGAAGCAATATTTTCCGGAGAAAATGCAGTTCCTAACTGAGCAGAGTTATGTGTACAATGTATATACGCCCGAGATGCAGAAGATCAAGGCGGGCCCATTCCTCAAGAAGATGTTCGACGAGATGCAGCAGAAGCGCAACGGCACCCTGAAGCCCGAGAAACGCAAGCTGTTTATTTATACGGGCCACGACTCGACTGTGGTTAATGTGCTGTCTGGCCTGAAGATCTGGGAGCGCCAGCTGCCGCGCTACTCGGTGATGGCACTGTTTGAGCTGCACAAGAACAAAGAGACCGGTGATTACTGGGTGGAGATTTATTTCCGCAATAATCCCAAGGCGCCGGCACAAAAGCTAACCGTGCCCGGCTGCGAGTTCCAGTGTCCGCTGGACAAGCTGCTCGAGCTGGCCGCAGATGTGGTGCCCACCGAGGCGGATGCCAACCGCTGCGATGCTCAGAACGAGCAGTTCACCGAGCCGCCACTGCGTGGCCCATAGAATGTGCCCGATAGATGGCCCCGGGCCAGTTTCCTTTTTGGAATCGAACGAGTGCTGCTATAACTCAGGGAGCTTCAAGYTAGYTAAGTCGAACGTTTTAGTTTAAGGCCAAACTGTTTATACTTATCATTAAAGATCGAGTCGAGGAATTGTCAGCCGCGTGTTGTCGGGTGTTTGAGTTAGCGCCAAAGTCAGCGCCTCATGTGGCATGGCAGCCAAGTTGGCTCATTTCCGCTTGTGGCGCCGCCATTGCCCAATAGGCCGCTTCCGTTTGCCTTTTGCCAGCTCCGCAA